TCCACTTGGGAGCTAACACTACTAGGTGTTAAAACTGCTGTATCCTATAGCATTTTACGCCAGACCCAGAACTTCCCAGGAACAGACTAGACATGCAGAACTTGCCCCAAAGATGCAAATGTAAATCCACTAACCATGAGGGGTAATACAGGAGTGCACAGGGGCGGCTTTAACAACCTTCCACTTAAAACTATCTGCAAACCACAATTCCTAATACACAACGGGTGAAGCGAATTCACCAATAAAAACTAGATTATAGCCTCCACTTCTCCACTCCTTGGGCTCTGTGCATAGCCCACTCCAGTTCCCATCTGCACAGTTCATCCCTGTTCACAGCCACAGTGAGGCCACCTGTCAAAGCAACCCTAAGGCTGCCTGGGAGCCACAGGACTGAACCTTGTCTGGACTCTGATGTAATCCCTTAGCTCCATGCTTACTCCTCTCACATTACTCATCACACTACATGTTAAGTGCTTCTCTGATGCTACTTTTCCCATTCACCTATCATGTGCAAGTCCAGAGATTATCTTGTTCCCCATCAAATCCCCAGGCCCCAGCTGTTGGAGACCCCAACATACACATCTGAGGCATGGAGGGGATGAGCAATCAATCATGTGAGGCATTTACCTTCATTAAAGCAGTCTCACCACTGCTCTGCTGGACATTTACAAAAGCTCCTGCTTCCAAAAGAATAGCCACTGTAGTTAAAAAGTTCTATTAAAGAAAAGAAAACAAATTTAATTCTTCAAATTCTTATATTCAAAAGTAAGATATTTTTGGATGTTTTGAAACTTTTAGCCACCAGGAAAAAGACAATCTATCCCAAGCAGGTAGGTGAAATTTCCTGGTTCTTTACTATGCAGGGTCTTGTGAGAACCAGAGGTGCTGGGTGGGTTCAGTCCCCTGCCCAGCCACACTCTGTTTTGCCAGCAAGTTCAATCTGAGGGTTAACCACTGCTTTCTACATAAGACCCTCTGCATAGCAATCCTTTAGATCAGTGGTTCTCAACCTTCTGGCCCTTTAAATACAGTTCCTCATGTTGTGACCCAACCATAACATTATTTTCGTTGATACTTGATAACTGTAATGTTGCTACTGTTATGAATCGTAATGTAAATATCTGATATGCAAGATGGTCTTAGGCGACCCCTGTGAAAGGGTCATTCGACCGCGAAAGGGGTCGCGACCCACAGGTTGAGAACCGCTGCTTTAGATAGATAATATATGGGAACATTTTAATTATTTTCAATTGGAAATGATTTTTCAATCAAGACCCTATTGATTGAAACTAATTTTAGTACCTTAATCGGAGGTCCTGTTGAATATAAATCCCTTCCAACTAGATAATCATTTTGAAAATTCAACTGCAAAGTATTATTGTTGATTTAAAAAAAAGCATCCATTCATAAGTCATAGATAAACTGAAATATAAAATTAAGTTGACTGTATGACTGTTATATTTCACTACAGAAACAGATTTTGTCTTAGTCCAGGAGCAGGAATTCCTGTAAGACTATGAAATGGCTGCACTGTGAGTGACCAACCTTTTCAGCTGCATGAATGAGTGCGGTGGTCCCATTCTTCTGTCTGCCATTCACTTTGGCTCCCTTTCTGATGAGAAGCCTCAGTAGATCGTCCTGACCTCCAGCTGCAGCAAGCATCACTAGTGTCATCCCACTTGAATCCTTCATTAGTTTTGTGTAAGGAAAAAATGTCAATGTTTAATCATAAAAATTGTATAACTAAGTTCATCTAGACTGTTTCAACGTGAAATTATTAAAGTACGTTGACTTAAGCATCTACTTAATTTTTTTCATGAAAATATCCTAAAGATAAAAAACTAATAACCTTTGGAATTTTATATATATAAATGTTACTATGGGAACCTTAATCAGAGTACACTGGATGTTCAAGGCCAATCTAAGCAAGGACATAGCAATCTTACTGTATGCACTGAGCAGGTGTACCTTTCTGAGGCCCAAATATTGATGTCACTATTTGGCAAGAAGCCTCTTTTGTCCAAGTTGGTATAAAGATGTATTACTAACCAGGTGGTACAAGGCTGTTTTTATTTATTTTTTATTTTATTGCTTAAAGCATTACAAAGGGTATTACATATGTGTCCCTTTTTTTCCCCGCCCTTGACAATACCCCGGCTTCCCCTACCCCCCAGTGTCTTATGTCCATTGGTTATGCTCATATGCATGCATACAAGTCCTTCAGTTG